ATATATATATATATGAATTGAACTCACAACCTTGCACTTGCCAGGAAGGCCCTTGTTCAGCTCAGCCAAATCCTAGGCCCTTGAGGATATATTAAAAATATTTCTCTCTAAATTGCTTTCTTTTGGGGCTTGAAATACTTCACTCCAAGGTCTCCTTGAATAGAGCTTTTTCTTGGAAAAGTCTCTGGAGAGTTTGATGATTTTTAAAAATTATTTATTTGGTGCAGGGTCTCACCACACAGCTCAGACTCATAGTGATCCTCCTGTCTCAGCCTCCCCAGTGCTGCGCTTACAGGCATGGGTCACCATTACCAGAGGTCCAGAACCAGCAAGGCATGTGGAACCAGGCATTGAACTCAGTCCTGATGCTTGTAGGCAGACACTTAGACCACCAAGCTATGTCCCAGCCCCTCAGATGTTTTGATACACATGAGAAGGAATATCAGCGCCAGACACAGGGGTACAAGGCTGTGACCTGTGATCCTTTAAAGCAAGAGGAATGAGGCCTGGTCTGCATTAGGGAGACTCTGCCTCAGAGAACCAAGCAATGCAAAAATGATGATAACCTAATACAAATTAAAGTAAAGTATTAACTAGTTAAAAAAGGGGGGAGGGCAGAACAGAACAACAACAACAACAAAATGAGAAACCTTGTTCACACTCATATAAAAACAAAAACAGGGTCAGCGAAATAGATCATTGGTCTGAAAGGCCTGCTTAGGCAGTTTAGACAAGCAAAGGGAATGGGATTCCAGGCCCAGGACCTCATGTCATACCAGGCTTCCCCAGGGTGAACTGAGCTGGCCACAGAAGAAAAAAGAAATAAAAAAATAAAGGAAGAAAAAATAAAGGAAAAGAAAACAAATACAAAAAAGACTTTTAAAAAAATTCAAAAATCCATTTCACCATGTGTCTCTGCTGTCAAACAAAGTGGGCAGAGTCCAGGTCCTTGTTCATTAATCCCAGAAAGCCAGTTGTGGATTTATGGTGGGGCTGAGGATAATCCCAGCATGCCTGCACTTGAATTCCACTGAAGTTCAGGCTGGTTTCTTGCTATGAGGCTGTAACTCTGTATGTTTAGCCTACCCTGCTCTGTGCAGGGCCTGGGAGATGGCTTAGTGGAATAAGCGCTTCCCTGGCAAGTGCAAGGACCTGAGTTCAATCCCTGGTTCCTCAAAAAAAAAGGCCTACAATGCTCTGTGTCCCACTTATAGACTGAACTCAGTTCCTTGACCTCCTACCAACTTTAAAACTTGGTTCCACCTCAGGCCTAATGCTGGGAGCCTCTGTACTGAGCCAGCCCACAACTGCCTGAATTCCAAGCTCATTTGGACCCTCTCCAAGATAGCTCCTGGCCAAAAGCCTTCTCTGGGGAATGTCTGACCCTGAAGGACTGAAGAGGGAATGTCTGACCCTGAAGGACTCACTAGCCACTGCAGCCTGCTGTGTCTGCTGCGCCATTCCACTGGACCATTTCTCCATGGAGGCCTCTGGCTTCACCGATAGTTACCTTGTGTCTTAGTTCCTTTTCTCTCATTGCTGAGACAAAATACCTGACACCCAAGTTAAAGTGGAAAGGATTATTCAGTTCAGTCTGTGGCAGCTTCAGTCCATAATTAGCTGACTCAAAAGCAGATAGCACATGGCAAAGAGCCAACACATGGCAGCAGAAGATAGCAAAAGCAACAACAGAGAGAAGGGACACAAGCCTCTTTCTGTCCTTTATATTGTATCCGATCTACTGGGATTAGGCAATACCAATCCACTCACTAGACTGATCCAGCTACTCCCCACCCTTAATCCTACCAGCCTTAATCCAAGCATTGAACCATGAATCAATCACACACTCTACATTGAGCCAACTTTAAATGAGCCCCATCTGGGCAAGAGAATAGCTCATGAAATAAACAACTGGCTGGAAATTGCAAGGCCCTGAGTTCAATCCGTGGTACCGCAAATAAATCAATAAGCCCTCTCTAAAACTGCATGAGGCTTTGGTGGGACATGCAAACACAAACCATAATGCTGTGCATCTGCAGGTTTGGCACCATAAACTAACAGGGTTAAGAACAATGTAATACACTGAAAGCGTAAGCTGATAAACAGGGACAGACAGGAACAATAGGCCCAGATGATTGACTGCTCTGGATTCACTGGAACAACTCCGACTTGAACTATTTTCCATTGTTACCTCTTTTGGTGGTTATGGTGGGAGCAATTTTGACACAAGGACTTGCCATGTAGTTCAAGATATAGCTGAGCTCACCATGTAGCCTGGGCTGGACTGAAACTAACAGTGATCCTCGTACCTCAGCATTCTGAATGCCGCGATTACAGGCATGGACCACCACCCTCAACTATCATTACTTTTATGGAATGAAAAGTCTCTGCAAAAGAAATATTCAGAGAGCCTTTCAAATTAGAGTTAAGAGGTCATCAAGTAAAAAGGTATTATTAATGGAGTTTAAGGCAAAAGCCCCAGCTCAGAGATCTCAACAGACCAGGCTTAGCCATAGGTCCCTGAAAGCCAATTGAAGAGAAGAGCGGTGGTGAAAATCAAGAAGGAAACTTATGCAGCATGGCCATGCTGCAAAGCAGAGTGAGTTTCCAGATCGGACTTCAAGGGACTGACCGAAATTTGGGGTTGGACTGGGGAGATAGCTCAGAGGTCTAAGTGCCTGCCTGAGAAGCGCAAGGATACAAATTTGATTCCCAGTACCGCATGCCATACCCAAATGGGAACCCTAGGGGTACCGTGCAGGCCTGAAACCAGGTGTGGGGCCGGGCGCCTGTAATCCCAATGCTAGGGAGGGTGAGAAAAGGCTGAACTGTGAGGGGAAACCCTGTATCAAATAATATTTTAGAAAGAAAGAATTTGGGGTTTATAGAACAAGGGAACAAAGGCGAGGACTGGGATTTGCATAGCTGCAGTTCACTGCCTCATGGTCTAGTTGAGTTGGATCTCAGGATGTGCTCTGTAATGTTCTGGGAGAGCCACTTAAGGAGGGCAATAGGTCAGGATTCAAATTTTCCCAGGTCCCTTGACACAAACACTCTCCCTCATGGTGTCCCACACAGAGCGAAACCCAAAAGTGAAGAACAGGTCCACCTGACTTTGACCTGGGCGAGCAACCACAGAATTCTCCTTTGTTAACATTAAAAGTCCCTCACAGACCAGGTAGCCCTGCCTAGATTAGCTCTCCCTCAGCTGTTCTTCCCTAAAAGAGCCTATAAAGTCTTCTGTTCCCACCCCCACCCCCTGTATTCATTGCTATTTTGGTCCACTACACAGCCAGCCTGCCTGATGCCCCCAATAAATCTTCTACTCATGTCAGAATGCTTGGTTGATTGAGTGGGTTTGTACCTAACTTAGGGGAGCTACTTCTCATCATTAAATCCAATTTCTCTTCCCTTAGGGAAGCATGCTTGGTTTCTGTGCTGAAGTAACTCCACCCACGTAGGGAGTGACCACAGTGTGGGGCAATCTGTACATTTCTGGTTTTCCTGGAAGCTGAGGTGACTGCAGGTTTTGGACCATGGAGATTTCAGGGTGTTATACCTAGGGCTCTGGAACTGTACAACCAAGAGGTAGCAGTTAGATGTTCCTGTAAATCTGGAAAATCAGTTACTCTGATTTTTGTGTCCTCAGCCTTGAAGGAGATGAGGCAGGCTAGTTAAATTTAGATTCATGAAAATTTCTATTATATTGAGTCCCCATACCATGCCAACCCTGCCCTGGGCATGTCCTGAGCCGGCAAACTTGTCCAGGCCTGGTCGGGCACTCCTGTAATCCCAGCACTGAGGAGGCTGAAAATGGGAGGATCACTAGAATTCCAAGATGCATAGTGAGACCCTGTACCAAATACATAAATGAAAGAGAGAAACCTTTGCATTATACACTCCTTATGTTATTAACACGCCGACCCATAGAGGTGTACGGGACTCTGATCCACAGTTTCAAGGTAATATATGAGAAAGACATGGCGCTCGCGTCTTCAACTCATACACTAAAAGCTGGAATGATGCACAAAAGATTAGCATGACCCCGGTGCAAGAATGTCACTCAAATTGGTGAAGCATCCCATATTTTAAAAAATGAGACAGACACAAAAATTGAAGGTAGAAGCCAGCTGTGGTGACCTATAACTGTAATTCTAGCCTAGGAAGGTTGAGGCAAGGACAGCCTGTAGTGGTTGATTATCAGTGACAACTTGAGAATTTTAGAAGCTTAAGTCTATTGTTTCAGCAACTCCACACCCTAGGGTGTACAGGCCCCACCCTAGGGTGGCTCATCCCTTAAAGGATATAAAGGAATTGAGGAAGGAGGAAGAGCTCCATTTCCTTCAGAGGAGCTCCCGTCTTCTCTGTCAACTTGGACTTCATCTCCTGGCTTCCAGCACAAACTCTTCGGCTTCTGCCTTGGATCCTTCAGCCTTCCGTGACGGAAACAGACTTGCACGGAGCACTGCAGTGAGCTCCAGACCTTAGACTGATTCAGTCTCAAGTGTGCAGACGAAAGAAGTCTCCACTACAGCCTTCCCCATCCAACTCTGTGGCTGATTGTGGTAAGCCAATTTATTTTATTTATTTATTTATTTATTTATTTATTGTATTTACTACAGGACCTGCTGGATCTCACTACTTAGACAGACTCCTAGTGATCCACATGGGTTTAGCCTCACAGGACCTGGGATTACAGGCACACGCCACCACACCAGTCTCAATCTCCATCTCAGCTCACCTCGCGGTAGGGGCCAGCACAGCACTCCGGGCATCAAACCCAGGCCGCTGCATTCTGCCTAAGCAGGTGCTTTAGTCTGCTGAGCTATCTGGCCTGCCCTAGAGAGCAGTGTTAATAACTGCAAATGGACTTACTATGCAGTATACAAGTGTATCTCTTTACACAATAACTAAATGCCATTGAAGCAAAGACAATACATATACATTAAGTTTTAAATGGCAGGACCAGATTTAAAGACATGCCAAATTTTGATCATTTTTTGTGTCTGAATTCTAGATATATATTGTTTAAAAGAGAGCACCTCTTGTTAGTTTGCACATGTTAAACTTTTATAGTCTTAGCTCCATAAACTTAAGTTTAAAGCTTAGACTCACAGTACATCTTGTGTCTCAGATGTATACATACATATCTTCCCAAATATATAAGTTCTCATAAACTAAGATAATAGTTGTTCATTTAACCAATCATAAACCAATTCTTGAAAACATTTAATAGGTTAACCTTTAAATACTCCTTTGCTCTTAAAGCCCACTTTTAGTAATCACGGACCTAAAAATATATAACCTTTTCCTTTCAACCTAGTGTAAAGCTTAACCAAGAGTATATTAAGAAGTAGCTTAAGAAATCCATATTGTTTTAGACATAGAAAGCTTAACCTTTTAATTTCATTTTAATCATGTGTAAAATTATTTATTTACATATTTATTTGGTTCAGGGTCTCTCTATGCAGCTCAGACTTGAGGTGATACTCCTGTCTCAGCCTCCCCAGGGCTGGGATTTCAAGTGTGTACTACCACACCCGGTTTTGGTACCAGGGAGCGTACTCACGTCCTTGCACTTGACAGGCATATGCTTCGGCCACCACACTATCTTCCCAGCCCCTTCACCTTTTAATTATAGGGAAAATAATTACTTTAAATTATTCATATTTTACATATATTTTTTCATGTGTGTGTTTGTGTGTATGTAAAAGACAAGGAAGAACTAATATAAAGTTAATAGAAAATGGAAATACACTTTTTAAAGTTGCTAATACTAGGAGAAAATATATCCTGTCTTATAAGTAGATTGTAAGTCAAAGATATAGTATAAGTCATAAAACAAAGATCAAAATTAAATACTCAGAAAATTAATTAAAAATTAAATATTTCAAAACAATATTCACAAATTAAAATTAAGTTGTGAGACCAACTAGGAGGTCAGAATGTAGTATATCATGTGTACGAATCTGTGATCAATTTAGAGTACTCACACAGTATTTGAATAGTTTAATAGATACAAAAAGATCAACTACGAAAAAGTTTTCAGATAGTAAAGAATTACCAAGAATAAAACACAACAAAAATACTGGAATGGCAAATATATGACCAACACTTCTAACAGTTTGGGGATAGGATATCACACAAAGTTCTAGTATGTGGTGGACGTGGACAGTGTCCATGACACTTACTGGTAGCTAGGTGTCACTTGTGGGACTGAGCTACTGCTATTTCCTTCATATCCACCCTGTACACCCCGACAGAATCATGACCCACAGCGTGCAGGGGAAGTCCATTTGTAAGAGGATGCTGATGGAAATATTTTGCTGCTGTATGCAAAGGAATCATGGAAAGACTGCTATTGGGCTGGGGATATAGCTCAGTGGTATAGTGCCTGCCTGAAAGACTGCTTTTGTATACCAATTTTTCTGTCCTGTTTAATTATTTGCCCTCCTTGGTGGATTATTTCTGTTCTGATGGAGTTGTGGTCATTTTGATTCCTTTCTAGAATGTATTTTAGTAGTCTGCAAGTTTGGCTTTGTTGTCATGAAATTCTTTAGTTCTTTGTCATGGATGTATTTCACTTTTCCATTAAACTTGAAAGAGAATTTTTATATTCTTATATTCTCACTCTGGTTTGGAATTTGTTTTCTTGTAAGACTTGTAGTACTTTGCTCCATGTTCTTCTTGACTTGGTGGTTTGAGAAGAAAAATCTGCCGTTATTCTGATGGGTTTCCCTGTAAGTGTAATCTGTTTCCTTTTCCCTAGTGGCTTGTAGTACCCTGTTCCTGTGCTGCATTTCTGGGATATTAACTATTATATGTCTTGGTGTGCTTTTAATTGGGTTGGTGTTATTTGGAGTACCATATGCTTCATTTACTGAATGTCAGATTGTTTCCCCATACTTGGGAAATTTTCTGCTATTACTTCTGCCCATATTCTTTTATTTCATTTGTACTAACTCCTGCTTTCTCATAGATGCTTATGAGCTTTATGTTGTTCTTCTTTGCATCATCTTGCAGATGCTAAATTATTTTTTCCTGCAACCTAGTTGTTTCTAAGAGATCTTTCCTTACCTTTTTACTAGGTGCAATTGTGCCTTCTAGGTCTGATAGTCTATTTTCATTTTCATTAAAATGGTTTAGCCACTTGTCACTGAGGTTTTAATTTCCTGTATATCATTTTGAATCTGCTACATGCATTTTCTTTCCTATATTGCTCATTCAACAATTTCATCATGTTTATATTTGCCTCTGTTTTTTTATCAGTGTCTTTCTTAGAAGCACTTAGACTGGACTTTAACGCCATCTTCTCGGAACCCTCTGCGCCATGAGAGCCAAGTGGAAGAAGAAGCGATTGCGCAGACTGAAGCGCAAAAGAAGGATGATGAGGCAGAGGTCCAAGTAAAATAGCTCGTACCCCCATGGAGGCCAAAGGAGCAGAAATAAGGAATGCTGGAGGCTGACAATGCTGGAGCAAGTTTTGGACTGCATGCTGCCTAGAATGTCTCAAGGGATTCGAACTTCATTGCCATCGGATCGCCAAGACCACCATGAAAGAGACATTCACCTGGTTCAAACTACAGATTCCCTGGTTGTTTACCCAGGACATGTGGCATTCTGGACTACTTCTGTTTTCACGTTTGGCTGAATGTAAAGCATGTGCAATAAGTCATTTTTTTGTTAGCTGAAGAATAAAAAAAAAAAAAAAGAGGAAGAAGCACTTAGTACTCCTTTCATTATACTTATCATTTCTTGTTTTTACTTCAGAGATTATTTCTGATCTGATTTCCTCTATACCTTTCTCCAGTTGTTTCTTTACTTCAGATACTATTATTTCAGAGATTTCAGGTGTGTGCTTTCCAATTTGTTCCATGCTATATTTTCATGCATTTGTTCTGAGTGGGTCCAAGGCCTGAGAATGCATTTTCCTCCTTCTCTTTGTCATTTTGGATAGTACTGTCTTCTGACCTTTGGTGTAGAGCTTTGGTAGAGTTGTCAACTTAGCACCAGGTCCGGATCTACCAAGTTTAAACTCCTCCAGGTGAGTGTGACTTGGATCTGACTGCTGTGCTCCACTTCTTCCTGCTGCAGCCCTTGGAAGTGAACCCACTGTTCCACTCTGGCTCTGCTCCTGGATCAGCTGGGTGGGCCTTGCCTCTAGTCTCTCTGCAGGGAGTTCTGCCACAGGCTTCCACACCGGGCCTGTCTGATGGAGGAAGTTCCACACACACTTTGGACCTGAGCGCTGGCTGGAGTGAGGATCCAGCGGCCTGGCTGGTGTTGCCACACACATGCGGGGCCTGGGTGCTGGCTCAAATAAGCATGCAGCGGGCGGGCAGGCAGGCTGGCTGGGGCTGGCTGGCAGTCACACTCACAAACACACACACACACACACACACACACACACACACCAGGGCTCGGCCCTGGCCTGAGTGAGGATGTAGTGGGAGGTCGGATGGTCACACACACATACACACATACACACATACACATATACCCCAGTCCTGGCACTGGCTGGAATGAGGATCAAGCAGGGCCCTGGGTGATCCCACCCTGACAAAGAAAAACCCAGGTCCTGATAGATTCACAGGAGAATTAGTTATTGGAGGCTTCAATCCATACTAGGCAGGCGCAGTGACCAGGGTTCTATCCACACCTGCTGTGGCGGTCCAGCCCTCCGGGGCACACTGAAATAACAAACAAGATTGGGCATGGTGGTGGGCGCCTGTATTCCCAGCATTTGGGAGACTCAAAACAGGGGGAAGCACCACGTGACCAGTCTGTGTAGAGAGTCCCTGTACTAAAATACATTTAAAAAACCTGAACCTTTGGGCCAGGGATACAGCTTAGTATTATAAGGGCCTGCATGGCAAGGGCAAGGTCCTCAATTTGATTCCCTAAAACCACAAAAAAAAAAAAAAGTTACTCTTTCCAACTGATTTAAACTAGTCTATTGTTAAATGTAATGGTTGATACATTGTGTCAACTTGAGAAGTTTAGTAGTTTAAGAGACTCAGCAGGGAGCCAGGGTCTTTTCCTGTGTAAACATCCTCTTCCTGTGGAAGAGGTGAGTGTGGGTATGGGCCTG